AAATAGGTATCAAATGAAATCTAATAACCAAGTCAAGACATGCTATTATTAAGGAAAGACAAGGCACTTAATAAAAGATTGCTTCAGGAAAATTTCTGATTGATTTTCATTTCATATTATTCTCTAGACTTTTATCGATATGAAATGATAGTAACATATTATTTAGGACCTATGATCCAGACAATCCAATCTTCCTTTCCTCGTAATAAAGTTAGGATCTATTCAAACAACTAGCATTCTTATCTGTTCACCTCTTCAGAACACAATATCTTGAGTATCAACGATGGTGACCACATTTGTTGGCATGTGATGTTTGGACATAGAATTGAGTCCTTGCAAAATGGACAAAGCCAAATTCTCTTATTTGTTTATAAATAAGTAACAATGAATTTGAATTAAGATATTTATCTTACCTAATCTCATATTATAATAAACGGGCTGCATCAAAATTAAAAGGGTTAAAAATTAAACATAAATAAATTTATATTTTTTATCCAACAATGAATAACCGATTTGTTACGCAACCGATGGCTTTGTTGGTCTACTATACGTCTAACTTAAAAAAATTCTAAAACAATGTTGTTGGTCTTCAAACCGAGTCAATCCATTTGATTTCAAAACAATTATTATATAGACAAAAACTTCAATATCACTTTGGAAAATTCCCATCCACTTGCCTAAGATTTTTTTAGGTTATTTAGATACTTCTATTGTTTGATAGTAATGTTATTGGTTTGTTATATGTATGTTAAATTTCATTGTCAATTCAATTGGACGATTTTAAAATGCAATATCATATGTTCATTCTAATTCTTTTATTTTTCAAGGCCTAATGCAAAGATGATTTTTATTAATGACTAAGGGTAAGACGTTTTATTTAAAAATTTAAAATTTAAATAAACCACTCCAACATGCATAAATACACAAGTTATTTACATTATCATCTATTTTTTACTTGAGCACAATACACGAAAAATGAAAATTTGAAGCATTACCTCACTTAAGTAATTTTTAATTTTTTTATTTATAAAAATGAAAAAAAAAAAGTTGGTTGTCATCCAATTTATATCATTGTTTCATTTTGATTGTGATTCAAAATTATTTTGTTTCCAATTAGTCTCAAATATTTCCTTTTGTTTCATTTTAAGCTATATCTCTCTCAATTTGCTAAATTACCGAAAAATAATGCTGATGTAGCTAATGAAAAATATATTAGTGCATTGTTTTTATTCCCCGGCTAAAAAAATTCATAGACTTTTTCTCTTTTCTTTTTTCCTTTTGTATTATATTTGCTATATATTTCTTTTGAAAAAATACATTTAAAAATGCTACTGATCTAACAACACGTGTTTTTGTGCTATTAGATTATCAGAACAGGTCATATGATATTATCACTTGGTCATATAAATATTAGCTCCCGTTTGTTTCTCATTTTTGAAAGAATGAGAATGAAAAATATAGTCGTTACGGGTCCCACATAAGAGATAGAAATTCAAATTTGGTGGCTTGATGTGATGAATAACGGTTATATTTTTTTATTTTAATGAGAACAGAATGGGAACCAAACAGGAGCTTATTATTATTATTATTATTATTATTATTATTAGAGTCGAGAAAACTCGCTTCACTTCACGTATTTCTAGTCAAAGTGGCACCTCATATCCCATCACTCAATTCAGTATTTAAAAAAAAAAAAACAATGAACACTATTTTGTTTCATTCGCCACACCAACAAAAGTAAGATTAAAAATTTTCAATTTAGTGTTGTTTAAGTAAAATAATAACAACAACAACAACAACAACAACAACAATAATAATAATAATAATAATAATAATAATAAATAATTAATATTCAACCCCCAGAAGGCCCATTGGGCTTCTTTTCTTGCCAAACAGATACTCAAACGGGTCAGAGATGGATAGAAGGATTGCATCCCAAAAATCATCGTCTCCCTCCATCAACCCCACCACCGGATAGCCATATTGGTCGTCAACCACCACCCTCCTCTACATCCTATTCTTGTATAGATAGATACACACAAATATACGCGCCTTTCAGTAACAGAATGTATAAAAATCATTCTCTTTGAAATTGTGGTGTTTTCAAAAGCCCAATGCAGCCCTTGTGTTATTCGAAATAATTAATTAATTTCATATGATGGCCAGTGTTGTCAATTCTTCATTCTTGTTCGCAATTCTCCTGTACACCCAACACATATCCCAACCCTCAATTTCATGTCTTTCTAGGAAGTGCATAATAATATGTCAAGCGAAGGAAGAAGAATCAAAATTCAGAAAAATCGAATTTAATTTTTTGAAGCTGTCGTAACATTAACAGTAATTTCAGCTTCATTGTCCCAGCCTTCACTACCAGTTAAAGTATTTGAAAAGAAGCGTTCAGGGAACACTAACCCGAGGAATTGAAAACATAGGTCAAGGATCTTCCTCACAAGCTTGCTTATAGTGAAATCTTGGACTTGAAAAGGGAAAATAAGCTTAAGCATGCTATAAAGCGTCCGAATGCTGAGTTAAAGCAGCGGCCGGAGGTGGTTCTGGCGGTCTAGGAGGATAATAAGGTTGTTAGGATTGTTTTACCTTCAATTGAGAGTGATGCATACATCTGAGAACAATAGGATGAACTAAAGGTTGATGGAATATGTGTTAATGCTTTATAGTCCTTCGCTGAAAAAGCCTGAAATTCCAAAGGCCTTATTTTGGGTTCTTATTGAAAATTCCAATATGGATGTTTTCATTGGTTAAGCTAAAGCTTTATTCAAAGGAGGCGTTGGAGTAGAAGAGGGTGAGATGAGTTTAAATAGACGAAGAATGAGGAGTTAGGAAAATCTAGGGAAGAAAGGGAGTGATGGAAAAATCTAAAAAAATGCAGAAGAATGGAGAGGAGAAAAAGAGGCTAGAAATGAAGAAGATCGAGTATGAGGAGCCGTTGTGCCAGGCACCTAGAAGTTCGCAGGACATGGCAAGAATGTGACAGATTATCTAGTGATTCAAATGTTGCCAAAGCTCTTGGTTTGGATTTTTGTATATATTTTATTAAAAGTTGTTCTTAGCTATATGAAATGGTTAATGAAAGAACCTCCGTGCCCTCCTGACGGTGTAGGGTTCTTCCGCCGTTTCGATGACCAATTGTTATCTGCAAAAGTGAGGTGGGGTTTTCTCCCCCAGTGTACCTCTGACGTGAGAATTAGTATCAAATTATGGAGAGTTAGAAAAGGAAAAAAAGAGATATTCAAATAACCAAAGTTTTTTCAAGATCTTTACCTGTTTCGCCTTTTGGAGTATTTATAGGCAATTGGAGTCATGTGAAGGCCAGGCGGTTATGATGCCATGTGTCCCATGTAACGTCTTCCACTGTCCCCACATTCTTAGTGGGTAACCTCCGCTCGTTCAACTACCAGTCGTGTTCGTAACAACCTTCTCGTGATCTCTACCCAAATTATGATTTTTGGCTGAGTGCTGTATCGATCGCTTAATGGTAATGAGCTTCATGGTGGTCGATGGTCCAGCTAGAATGTAGAGTACCCATGGCGGTCGACGTCCCGACATAGGTATAGCGCGCATTGGGGTTCGACGCCCGGCATGGGCGTAAAGCGCCCATGGGTGTCGACGCCCGGCATGGGCGTAGAGCGCCTACGGGGCTCGACATCTTAGCATGGGTGTTGTATGCCCACGAGTGGTGTGGAATGGGGCAGAACCCATATCTTGTCAGTTGTTGTAGGTAATTAGCGATGTCCAATATCACTATAAGTAGCAGAAGAAGTATTACGAAGATAGGTTAAGATAGAGAAAGCAGAGGTAGAAGAGAAGAAGATAAGGGAGCCGAGAGGGAAATGGCTGGGATTGAGGATGATGATGACGACGATGAGGAATGAGGAGGAAAGTCATGGGATAATCCTTAATGAAAACTGCACAACAATTCATGAACTCAGGTGCACGTGTTCAGAGGGCACACAACAAGATACTTCTACAATATTTGGAAAGAGGGGTCGACGTTAAATTCTCTGATATTGCTGGGCTGGGGAAAATTGGTGTTGAATTTGAGGAAATTGTAAAGTTCTTCACCCATGGAAAAATGTACAGCAGGCGTGGAGTCAAAATGGCAGGTCAAATTATTGTGTTTCACAAATTTTAGATGTTTGTTTTCTGTCTTATTTACCTATTAAGATTCGTTGAGATATGTATATTTTCTTTGCATAGGAAATCTTATTTCCCTGATGAGTAGTAAAGCTGTAGTTTTTGTATGCTCGATAGTAGGTTAGCATTGAAGGTCCCGCTAAGAAAGCTTAACCTTTATTTGCATGATGTCCTTTGTATTCAACTATGCTTTACCTTGTATCTCATAATTGAATTGTTCGATGCACATTAAGGCTATCATTATTTGGGAATTGAAGGTACTATGGCTAGATCAACGTGTCTAGTAATCATAAAGCCACCTATTTTACTCTTTTATTTGGAAATGAAGATATTGCATTCAAACAAATAATGGATTGCATTATGCATGCAAACTAATATTATGTCCTGTTGGTTTTTCCTAAAAGTGAACTTTTTGATAGTTTTATATAAAAGTTGATAAAATGTGTATTGAAAAGTTAATAAATATTATGGTTCCAATGAAATGTGTGGTTGAAATTAATTGTTCAATAAAAGTTAATAAATATTATGGTTCCAATGAAATGTGTGGTTGAAATTAATTGTTCGATATGATTTAAATTTTTATCAACATTTTTAACTAAACCAAATAGGGACATAATATCTCGACAGTATGATCTACATACTTTCAATATTCTTTAGATTTTAAGAAAGTCTTCATGAAATATTTATAGTGTCCATCAAAACAAGGGACCGTGGGTTGAACAAATGAATTTATTAGATTCTTTTTTTCTTTTTCTTTTTTTTTGTTGCATCTCAAGAGATTGAAGAGAAAAAAGAGTCCAAACTATATTATGAAAATTTTAACATACAGAATATGTAGAACCATTTGATATGGAAAATTTCTAGAGAATGTTATTAGCAGCTTAAATAAATAATTACAAAAATAGATAGTTGTTACAAATGAGGAAATTGTTTAAAAACCACTAAAGGACATCACATTGTCTGAATCGTTAGTGGAAAAGTGTCTGATGATGGAATGTTGTCACTAGTACTTGTCCATTGGTAATCGTCATCTGAGATCAATATTGATTTGGACTTGTGCATTTGTACACTTTGATTTTTCATTTCAGAAGTGGTCGAGAGTTTTTGAGACATTCTAACACTCTCCAACTCCATGGCTACTTCTTTCATAGTTGGCCTTTTCTTTCCATTCAAATTTAAGCACCTTTGTGCAACTTTGGCCACTGCAATAAGCTCTTCTTTGTTACTTTGATGTAAAAGTTCGGTGTCAAGAATTGTTTCAAGATCTTTTCCTTCCATGCATAGCAAAAACCATGTTGCTAAGCTCCTTTGCTCTCCTATTCTATCAAAAGATATTGGTTTTTGTCCAGTCAAGAGTTCGATAAGAACAACTCCAAAACTATAAACATCACTCTTTTCTGTAAACTGACTTGACTGAAAATATTCTGGATCTAAGTATCCCATTGTCCCTTTTACTAAGGTAGTTTGATGAGTTCGATTCGCTGCAATTGACATTGAAGTTCCAAAGTCAACAACTTTTGCTACATATTTTTCATCAAGAAGTATGTTGGATGATTTAATGTCTCTGTGATAGATGGGAACAGAAGTTGCAGAGTGAAGATACGCAAGTGCTTCTGCGACTTCTACAGCAATTTTCAAACGCCGATGCCACAAAAATGGGAATTCATCGCTCTCATCATGGATATAATCGAAAAGTGTTCCATTGGAAATGAATTCATAAACTAGTAACGGAACTTCTGTTTCTAGGCAACAACCTAATAGCTTAACAATATTTCTGTGAATGATTTGTGAAAGCATGACAACCTCATTAATGAATTGTCCCAATTGATTTTCATCTATTAAGATTGATTTCTTTATTGCTACGATTTTTCCATCAGACAACATACCTTTATACACAGTCCCTTGACCTCCTTTACCAAGTATTCGACTTTTATTGAAGTGATCAGTTGCTCTCTCTAGTTCTTTAGAAGTGAAAACTCGTGTTTTTTCAAGTATAGCTTCATCCTTCGATATTTGTTGTTGTAGCAGGAGTCCACCATTTCGTTCGAAGAACTTTTGTTTGCGCTTCTTATTTTTTCTCTTCTCGTGGAACTTGTACAACCAAAAGCAAGTTGGTAATAGAAGTAGTAATCCTAGTCCTGAGGCCAAACTTACTCCTGAAAGTGTCAATATATGCAAATTAATTCAAGACAAGAACATCGCATCTAATTTAGACTCCAATCACATATAGTTTTATTCGAGTAGGAATATTGATCTTTTTTTTTTTTGTTCATTTAGTTATTTGATATTGACAAAACAATATGGCAAAACTAATTATACCATGCACATATTTCACAATACTTCTATTTTTTGTAGAGGAGCTTCCTCGAAAATGAAAATTTTCAAAATAATAATAATAATAATAATAATATATAAAAAGAAATAAAAATATTTAACTATATTCAAAAGAATCTTCTTAGTGTCAAAAGTAATTTTTGGCATTTCAGAAGTCCTTCCAAACATGCCCTAATACTTAAATTGGGAGCATATATCTCTTAATTTGATTTGCTATTCTTAATGATATGATCGATATATTGGATTATTGAATTTACTGATGATTTAGAAATCCAAATTTTAATAAAATATTAAATTAATACTTGCTTACATAAAAATTAAATTAATTAAACAATGGAAATATTAAGAAAAATAAACTCTAACTATTTAAAATGCATAAATTAATTAAAAATTACCTATTGTCACTTTGCTATGAGAGTTTGGCACTCGTCTACAACCGGTACTATTTTTTTTGCCATCACCATAATAACCATCATTGCAATAACAGTTATACGAACCCAAAGTGTTGACACAAATTCCATGGGAGGTGCACGGATTATTGTTGCATTCATCGATATCTGCAACGCGTCCATCAAACATCAAAGCAGATAACTGTTAGATTTCTTGTATCGAATTGCATAGGAGAATGTACAAGTCTTTTAATTGAATAATAGTAATTTTACAACTAACCTTGGCACCCTAAGTAAGGATTGCCCTCATATCCTTCGTTGCACCTGCAGTGATATCCTCCATTATGGATATCCAAGAGGTTAATGCAACGACTATTCTTTCCACATGAAGTTTTGGTGCAATTCGAATCAGGACCAATTCTCCAATCTAATACCAATGGCCTATCCGTAAACTCTTTATTATTCTTTCGGAATGCTCTTGGATCATTGAGGTCAGATAATTTAAATTTGATATTACCAAGTTTTCCTATCATTCCAACGAAGGCAAAACTACACCCCAAATATTTTATCTTTCTTCCCCAATTAGTATGCATGTCGACCAGAGCAACATTGAGAAAGTCAGTTTTGGATATGGAGGTTTGGCAACAGCACCTGCCAGGGCATGTTCCGATGAGATGTTTATTAACGTTTTGACACAACGACAGACAACCAGTACCGCTGTAATCATGGGTAAGGTTTGAAAATTGTTGTATCAGAGCGAAGTCATCACCACCAACTATTGTTAGCTGATTTGAATCTGACAAGGTATAAGGAGTAGAATCAAAATTGAGGTATATAGAATAATTCTCCGCATTGTAATTGGTTGGCATGCGATAGCATGTCCTTGCCAACTGTAGCACCGAGTTCTTAACATAGATTTGGGATTTTGAGATATTAACAACCTCTAAGTAATTAGGGACTTCTTGGGGAAACTCACTGGAAATATTTAAGTGGAGGTAAGGTTTTGGAGGGTTGAAAGTAGTATGGCAGTGGATGCTAAAGTTTGAGTTCTCATAACAATTTGGGCCGATACCAAATGGGTATGGAATTTCTACGTTACCACATCTGTTTTGGCAGCCAGCTTTGGTAATGTTGGTAGTGGTGATAGCAATTGACGGTGGTACCACCGCCAGTGAAAGCAAGAAGAACATATGGAGGAAAGCATAACGCAAAACCATGATTTGCTTTGCAATTTGCAAGTTCAGAATGATTAAGCTGATCTGTATTTATAGACCAAAAAAACAAAAACAAAAATTCTCAATTGGTATCACATTAGGATGTCACCTTAAAAAAAAAAAAAAAAAAAAAAAAAAAAAAAAAAAAAAATCTTTGTCATTTCATTCTTGTAGAGATCTAGTTGTGCAGGTAGACACAAATTTTCTGATAATTTCTTCCACTAATTGTCACTAGATGGCGGCTTTTGTTTAATATAATTATTATTATTATTATTATTATTATTATTATTATTATTATTATTATTATTTATTTATTTTTTACAGAAAATAAATTGATTGTCAATAAAATAACAAAATTGACTTCAATGAAAAGTTTGGGCCCCATCTCTCTCTTTTTCTTTCTTTTGAGTATCAAGCACAATTAGGAACGGTATAAGTTCACATCTCTTTCATCGTAAGTTTTGGTACAAACGTCTCTGTCTCAACATCAAAGGCCATACAAGGTACCATATACGATTTACGATCACCAGCTGCAACCTTAAAATTGTTAGGAAATTTTTGCAAAATATAACATATATTTAAGACTGAAAAACAAAAATGAATATATGCAAACGAAAAAGAGTTGACAAGTAAATTCGATAACAAAACAGCAATCGAATCCTTGTGTAAATGCAATTTCTTTAAAATAAATTTGTTCCTAGCGAATCCAGCACCTGACGAGCCCTCACGGTCGCGAGTGCTGGATCCGCTGGAAGCCCATTTTTTTAAATTTAGAATAGACAAATGTTTTGGATATATTAGTGGTAATTCTTTTTTTATTTTACCATTCCTTCTGGCCAAGTTGGTTAACACTTAGCGCCTTAGGGCATCAAACCTAGGAGGTCTTCTTAGAAATATTGAGACCTTGACCATTATGACGCTTGTTGAGTTATGATACCAAATTTAACAAAATAATAAATGTTATATTTTAGCGGTTTTAATGCAATTGTAAAAATTCAAACAACATGCTCTTCCTTTGAATTATACAAAGCAACAATGTCATTTGGTAAGTACAATTTATTCTTATGATAGAAATATATATGTTTGACTTCAACAAAATAATTATTTTATTTAAATTTTAAGTCTTGTTTGATTCCTATTTAGTTCAGAATATATTTTTCTTTCTTTTATTTACGATCAAACATTCTTTAAAATAATATTACATGCATATTCAAAACTTTTTCTTATTTATAACTATACATTTTTCATCAACTCACTGTTCTAAAATGCATTTTTTTGCAAAAAATGACATCAAACGAGCTCTTAATACTTTATTGCGGCCGACTGTCCAAGGTCCACAATCAATGTGTTGACTCAACATCATGGATTCACCACTGTCCCTCGCAATCAGTACTTTAAGTTTCATCAAGCATCCATAATCCAAGATACAACGAAAAAATAGTAAAAACTGAGCACTACATTTTACATTGATGAACTAAATCTGTATCCGAATATAACTATCAAGGCTTTGGAAAGAAATTGAAAATTATTGACAATCAAAAAATTGGAAACTATATATGCAGAAGCATAAGGGAAATCGTGTGAGGGGAATGGAGGAAAAAATCGTCTATATAAATAGGTTTTAATGGAAGACTTAATATATCGGTCCATGAGGTCAATTTTGGTTCATTCAGTCCAACATTCGTATAAGCAGGTTTAACAATTTGGTATGTGATTTACATCACCTATGCACACCGTAAAAAGAGCATTTATGCTACGCATGATTATATCCTTTATAAGTGTAGTTATATATAAACTAGTATTTGCCTTAATAAATTTCGAATTTGAGACAAATTAAAATAGTTTTCCTCCCATTTATAAACTCTTTCAAATGATACACTGTGAACCTCAAATTCTTATTCACCGAAATGTCATTTTTGACATATAAATGTATGATTTTGATGTTCACACGAAGGAGAACGTGAATCAACTTTGATCTTCCAAAACAGACAAATGAGTTCTATCCAAATTATGTCAAAACAGCCCCACCCATTTTAAAACCATTTAATAACAACAGTTTCTAGAAAATATCTCAAATTATTAAATTTCGAACCATTCCAAATTTGATTATGGAATCCCTTTTTTTATTTTCACTTTCTAAAAAGTATTGTTCGACCAGAACATTTAATTATATCGTTTACAACAATATATTTCCAAAAAGTTGGAGACTTCGGTGCAATTCTTTCTAATATTGTAGCACTTGATTTCAAAATAGAGGGTTTTAATAAAAAAATGATAGATCATGGACATCGAAAAAGCAACTGATGATATTATAGATTTTTGAGACCCAATGTTCTCCTGAAAACCAGAGCCCATGTGACCTTAACCAAGAAGAATACTTCTTGTCGGTTTCACACGATGCCAATTTTTTTTAATCCTCATCAACTTGCAAATGAATGAACTTTTAGTTTGTTCAGATACTGTCCTTGGGCTTTCTCTTGTTTGATAATCATTAGCTATTATGGGTATCTTAACATATAATTGTCATTTCAATAGTGCGTTAAACTATTCGTTTAAATATAAGTTATTAGAGGAATCTTATTTATTTATTTAAACGTAGCTTTTAACATGCATCACACGTGCATTCAAATTTTTTTTATCTTTATGATTTTTATTAATGGCTAAGGAGTAAGACATTTTATCTAAAAAATTGAACTTTTAAATGAATCACGCAATATGCATAAATACACAAGTTATTTAAGTTAGCATTTTTCGTTTGAGCACAATACACAAAAAAAAAAAAAAAAGAAATTTTGAAGCATTACCTTGCTCGAGTACTTAATATTTTTTGTTTTTTCTCGAAATAGAAGGTGCAAAAACTTGGTGCTTCTCAAATAATTGGAACTGAAATTGATTGTAGAAGGTTAAATATAGCAAAGAAGTTTCATGATTGATTTTATAAAACTCGAAAGACCTTAAATAACCAATAAATAATGTAAATGTAGATCTAATAGACGGTGTTGTTGATTATAGCTTCAAAAGCATTGAGAAGTCTCTGTAATGTGAGCAAAAAAAATAAAAAAAATTAATAATAATAATAATAATAAAATAAAATTGGGATCAAAGCTATTCGACTCGCAAGCCACTATCAAAAACTGAACTGAAATCGATCGGTTCTCTGTGCAATATCCCAAAACCTACATGTTTTTTTTTTTTTTTTTATATATAGGAAATGGTGTTAAATCGGCCGATTCAATCCAATTCCAATTCGGTTACGTTGGTTGTCACTCCTACCACGAGGTCTCATAACATATTGGTCTTCCCCTCAAGTCAATGAAGTCAATATTCTTAAAGTACAGTAGGGACAAGAATCCGACTTCAATAAACAGCTACAGGCTTGCTGAAGACTTTTCTTTATGAAGGAAACATGGAAAAAACTTGGCCTAAATATTTAAGATGTCAAGGAATAAAGATATTTAGCACGATTTCTCACTTTCAGGTTCAATTTATCTATTTATGAAATGCGTCTCAGGTAATTTATTTATTAATAAGTATAGATGAATCTAAACTAAGACAATTTATCTACCCTCACGTTATATTGAACGGCTTCATCAAAATTAAAAAGGTTATAAAATAAATATAAATAAATTTGTATTTTTTATTAAACAATTAATCACACATTTTTTATGCAATCGACGGCTTTATTGCTCTGTACGTGTACTACACGTCTAACTACAAAAGTTCATAGAATAATGTTGTAAAAGTGTGACATATTTTCTTGGTCTTCATTCCAAGTCAATCCATTTAATTTCCAGCAAAGTTGAGCATATAGACAAAAACATCAATATCATTTTCGAAAATTCCCATCCACTTGCCATAGTTTTTTTACGTTAGTATGATACTTTTCTTGAATTTTCTATTGTTTGATAATAATGTTAGTCTGTTTTATGTACGTAGACATCTAATTGTCATTTCAATCTCGCATTAAATAATTCATTTAAAATCTAAATCATTAGAGAAATCATATTTGTTTATTTTAAATCAAGATTCTAACATGCATCACATCAAACGTTCATTCAAATTCTTTTATTTTTATCAAAGCCCTACCACAAAGATGAATTTTGTTAATTATTAAGGGTAAGGCATTTTATCTAAAAACTTAAAATTTAAATGCATAAATAACACAAGTCATTTAAGTTATAATCCATTTTTCATTTGAGCACAATACACAAAGAGGAAATCAAAGCATTACCTTGCTTAAGTTATTATTTTTTTATTTTCTATGTTTTTTCTTGGTGTAAAAATAAATAAATAAATAATGGCTGTATTCCAACTTATATTATTGTTTCATTTTGATTATCCAAAATTATTTCGTTTCTAATTAGTCTCAAATCTTTTATTTTGTTTTAGTTTACGCAATGTCCATTTCAATGCACTAAATTGCCAGAAAATAATGTAGATGTCGCTAATGAAAAAATATTTATGTTAACATAAAAAATCCATTAGTTCATTCATTTTAACCCCCAGATAAAAATAAATAAATTCCTTGAAGACTTTTTCTCTTTTCTCTTTTCTCTTTCCTTTTTCCTTTTATATTATAGTTGCTATTTCTTCTTCAAAAATGCATTTGAAAATGCTACTAATCTAACAACACGTGTTTTTCGCGCTATTATTATCACTTGATCACATGAATATATTTTTGTTTTTTAAATTAAGGTAGAGAAAACTCACTTCACAATCAAATTATCAAAGTAGTACCTCCTATCCCACCATTCAATTCAACATGAGAGAGAGAAAAGTTATGGTCAATTTATTCTGTTCCATTTCCCACACCAATAAAAGTAATATCTTTCAAGACTGACGAACGAGTTCCACTCAAAATTATGTCAAAACAGTCCATTTTAAAATCATTTTCCAATAGCAGTTTTCTAGAAAATATCTCAAATTATTAAATTTCAAACTATTCCAAATTGGATTATGGAATCCCCCCCCCCCCCCTTTTTTTTTTTACTTTCCAAAAAGTATT